TCCTGTCTTTCACATGTGTAGCCCCCCACCCCCAATTCATGGCCTTCTCTTCTTTAGTTATTGTTGTTGCATATATAAATGTTTATTTATATGTAGATAGATACTTAATTACATACATACATATCCTGCTGATTCTGTTCAGTGTTACCTATATATATATATGTGTCTAGGGCTGACCACTTGGTTTTCCACAACCAGTCAGGAGATTCATCCCAGGGAAGACTAATTCTCTCTCTTAGCAGTTACTAATTGCTTATAGGTCTTGAGCTAAGAGCCTGTGAGATTCCCCCATGTGCATTGCGAAGTCAGCTTGTGTTGGTATTGTTAAGGTCTTGTTTAGGCAGTCATTTTGTTGAGATTTCATGAGTGTACCTTCCCTGCCATAGCTAGAAGACATGTAACTCACAACAGACTTCCTGGTCTTCTGGTTCTTAGAATCTCTCTGACTCCTCTCCCTCGGTATTCCCTGAGCCTTAGCAATGGAGTTATGTTGTAGTTCAGTTAGTTAAGGCTGGGTAGTCTATGCTCTGTTCTCTGCCTTTTGACTAGTTGTGGCTTTCTATAATGGTCCTCCTGTTACAAAACAGAAGCTTCTCTGTTGAGGGGTAAGTAGGTATCTGTAGGTAGAAGGGTAAGTACTTAGAATGTAATTAGGAATTAATGTTGGTTTAGTAAGTGGTGGTAGTGTTAGACCCCCGAAAACTCAAGTATCCGGGGTCCCAGGCCACGTTCGCGGTCACCCCAGTCACCAGGCGGATTCGAGAGCTTGCTGCAAACTGCACGAGGCTTTATTGTAATTTAACGAGCTAACCCCATGTTAGCTCGGGTCTTTCACCCACCCACCATGGCGGACAGCTAGAAAAGACGGCTCCTAGGGTCTCCCAAGAGATCTTATAGGGCAGCGTAAGGGGAGTGTCTAGGGGGTACGCACAGGCTTACGCACAGGCTCACGATTGGTGTGCTTCCAGGCTTGGAGGGCTTGCCCTGTGATGATTGGTCAACTGGTTGTTATGGCCCATAGGCCCTCCCAGGATGGTTGCTATACTCTCTACGTCATTGCTGTGCGCTTGTCCGTAAAGCACACCCAGGGTCCTAAAGCATAGCGCCACCAGCTAACTTCTGATTGGCTCCTTGTCACGAGACAGGCTGTTCGGCTGTTATGGCTGCCAAAAGGGAAGCTGGTTCCTTCAGTAGTAGGTTCTCAGCTAAGATTCATGACCTCACTAATCATGTGTGCTTGGCTATGTTTACAGTTCCAGGCATGATTTTGCCCCTGTGTAGTGGGCCTAAGTCCAGTTGGACCGTTGTTGGTTACAGCACTATTGCACCTATAGGGATTTCTTACCATGCTGATGATCATTGTTTTGGTTCATGGGTGTCATAGCTGTGTAGGATCATTGAGTGCTTTCCTCTCATAAAAGGAGGAAATATTACCTGCATATTACCTTCTGGTGCTATGAAAGCTCTAGTCCTCTGGATTAAGGAACATTTTTTATTCCCATAGAGAAGAGAAGAAGAGATTTGAGGAATGGTAAAATAAAATATAAACATGACTAGTACTAGAAAATTAATTAAAATTATATGTGGCTTTCAAAGAGCTAACAAATGAAATATAAGTATTTGGAGAGATGCTGTGCCAATATCTGTTCCTAGTAAATTCATATCTGTAAGTTTCAGGAAGCAGAAATAAGTAAGGATATCACTGAGCTAGTTGGCACCAGTCAGTCGGCTGAATAACTGACATTTATCGGGAGTGTTGTCCTGCATGAACAGAATACATGTTCTTCCTAAGCTCATACAGAGCATTGACCAGGACAGACAGGGTTCAAGACCCTCAAACAACAGTTAGCAAAAACCAACAAAATAGAAATTGTAACTAAACTCTCTGAAAATATAGAATCATACCAATTAGCAGTAACAGCTATATAATTGGCAAATGCATAAATATTTGAAAATTAGCCTATTGCAAGAAAAGGAGTTACAGAAAAAAACCCTAAGAGGAATTTTAAAATACTGTACTTGAAGTTAAAGCAAAGATGCAAGTCATCCAAACTTGGTTGAAGCAGGGCAAGTATGGTTTTCAAGGAGAGTTGGGGCATTAAGAATTTATTAGAAAAAGAACTTAAATCCAATGTAAGATAAAGAAATATAACAATAAAAATAGGATCAGAAGCAGATGAAAATAAAAACCAGTATTGGAAAGCAACAAAATCAAAAGTTGATTCTTTGCCAAAATGTGAAATAAAATAATTAAATTTTGAACCAGAGGTAAAAGTAGAAAAAATACAAATTGTTAATGATACTACTGATCTTACCCATTTTCATTAAGATAATAATAAAGGGAATTATGAAGAATTCTTTTGAAAATTTACATAAAGCATAGATTACTTTCTAAAGGAAAACTGTTTTAGCTAGTTTCTCATTACCACTAGAAAATACCTGGTATAGTCATCTTAAAAAAAAAAAAAGTAGAGTATCTTGTTGTACATATTTAGTTCCAGAAGTAAGACATGGAAACAAGAAAGATAGTTACCCTGAGCTACATGATGAGTTTGAAGCCAGACTGGATTTCATGAGACCTAAAATTAAAAAAAAAAAATTATAACAACAAACTGCAACAATCAAAACAGACAAAAGTTTATTTCATTTTATTTTGCATTATGTGTGTGTCTATCTGTCCATTCATCCGTCCAGGTATGTGCATGTGAGTGCAGGTACCCTCAGAGGCCAGAGAAGAGCATTTGACTCCCTGGAGCTGGAGTTACAGATCAGCCTGACATGGTGCTGGGAATTAACTCTGGTTCTCTTGAAAAGCAACAAGTGTTGCTAGCCACTGAATCATCCATCTCTCCAATGCCAAGAAAAGTTTATTTTGGCCTTTAGTTTTGGATGTTTTAGTCCTTAACTCATTGGCCCAAATTCTTTGGACTTGTGCGAGATGTATACACACACATACACACACACACACACACACACACACAAGAATTTATGAGGAAGAAGCTGCCTGCCCCATCAGGTGGCCAGAAAGAAAATAAAAATGATGCAGAAAGGAGCCAGGGTCCTCATACTCTCATCATGCATCCAGTGACCTAATTTCTTCCAAGTAGTTCCCACCTACTAAAGGTTCTACCTTTTCCCTGTAGTCCTACATTCACTGGTGAATTCTGTGAAAAGTTACGCATGGTATTATACCATTTTCTATACCCTGTCTCTAAAAAATTATAGCAGAGAATTCTATCAGTCTTATTTTATGAGGTCCACTTACCATAACATCAAACTCATATATAAGGAAGGAAAATTTCATAGGGGTCACAAACATGAACAAAGCTTCTTATAAACAACAAGTGCATTGTGGCAAGTTCTACTCATTTTGGGTCCACAAATGTGCATCAGCATTCAGACATCAGTCAATGTCAGTCATCATGTCAAACAGACTAAAGAAAGAAAAGCTGTATTTCAGTAGGTGAGAAAAATACTTATTTATGCGAAATTCTCAACAAACAAGAATCAAGTCTGGGGTGGGAACACTTCCTCTACCTTTTAAAAAAGTACCTGTAAAACCCACAGAGATAATTTCATATTTCAATTTAATGGTGAGAATCCAGATGTTTTCCTGCTAAGATCATGAACAAGGAAGTAGAGCTGCGCTCTTTTACAACTCCTCTGCAGCATCTAACGACACAAGACAAGGAAAGATGTGTGGAGAGGGAAGGAAGAAGTAAAACCCTTTGTTTCTAAATAACAGGAGTGACTATAGAAAATCCTAAGGGAATAACAGAATAATGAAAAACTGATTACATTAAGGTTTGGGATACACTTTGGCATAAAAGTCTTTTTTTTTTTCATATTAGTGGTGTCCAATTAGAGTTTGAAAAGAACAGGTGAAGAGTATGGAAAATTCCAAGTCCAGATCTCAGTCTTACACTTTCAACATTTCTGGGGGTCAGAGGTGTCCATGAAGCAATCAGATAGATTGACCATGAGGTAGAATATATTTAGGATAGATATGTGTTGAAGACAGACCTGGAAACCATAGAAATTAACCAAATCATCTAGAGAAAATTGAGAAGATTTGAGACTAGAGTGAGTACAAGCCATGGGTGAGCCATACAGTGAACATCATGGGAGGTAGACTGATAGGTGGAGTGTTTTTAACAGAAATTAAGCAACCTCATACTGAAAGATGAATATCAGATGTGGTAGCAAGTTGTTCATGGCATTTTTCGTATTATAATCCTGGTTGTTCTGTCCATAATCCATATTCATTTATCCTGATAATACCTTTCCTAGAAAAATAAGTTCAACAATAGTTATTAGAGCCTTTAATAAGATAGTGTGTAACGTGACTCTCTATATAGTGTAACATAAACTTATTATATGATCTAGATACTCTTTGCTGCTGTTTCAGCATATTTTTAGGATTGTGCTGTATAGTACAGATCTTATGGAACATGTATACCAGCCCTTGAAAGAGCCTTATGATGAAGAAAGGACAGAGCGCTGACAGTAACCAATGAGAATAGGTGAAGTTATAACATATGCATATTTATAAGCACCTGAAGGAACCAGAGCTTGTAGGCAACTTGGGACTGTAGAAAGGAACTTTTTTTGGAGTCATACAAAGAGTCAAAAATGGAATCAATTTCTGAGGGTAAATTTACTTTTTGACAGAAATGAGAAAATAAAAGGAAATAGATTGTAGGCGGGTGTATGTGAGTACATTTTCCTCATTTAGAGAAGAAAAAGAATAGCTTCTCTGGTAGATCATTTAACCCTCACCTCAGCAAGAGGGAGGGAGACAATGAGTACATGTAAAAACTGGTTAGAAAAAGGTCCTTTAGGCTTTGTGGAAGAGAAGTGTTCCTGAAAGCTCATGTTTTTTAACACTCCAGCTGTGTTCCTAAGTTGGTGTAGACATGTGGTGGCTACATCACATACAAGTTTGCCTTTTTCACCGTAGACATCTGAAAGTGTTTTTACATTTAAATATTATTTCACAGGATGCTAGACATGCAGCTGAAGAAGAGATATATACAAACTTAAACCAGAAGATTGACCAGTTTCTACAGCTGGCTGACTACGACTGGATGACAGGAGACTTAGACAACAAAGCTAGTGATTACCTAGTCGACCTCATTGCCTTCCTTCGGAGCACATTTGCTGTATTCACACACCTTCCTGTAAGTGATAGTTGCTTCTGTTTTGCCCCACATAATAGGAAAAGGGTGTCTTAAACTAGCTTTGCCTTTCTCATTTAAGTTGCCAGGGGCCTCTTTAATGTGTAAGAGCTCCTAGTAGGTACATAAATCCATAAAGTGATTTTCAGGCCTCCCATGCAATTTATTTTCAAAGACTGTTACATTTTGACTATACTGCCGGGTCTTCCAAGTAAGTTCAAAGTCATTAGTATAGGACATGGCAAATACCTTGTAAAGAGTATCAAAGAGACTTGCTAGTTAACATTTAAGGTCTATTTCTTTTCATTTTAGGACATCCTTTGATTTTTTTATGATTTGAAATTCTTTGTTGAACCTCTTATCTTTTTATCTGTTTTGTAGTTGTCCTCTGTTTATATTAGTCACAATCATTTAAAGTTATGTCTATTAACTTATTTATACACATATTGATGGGTTTGATTTTTAGTGATATGTTCATGATTCTTTCTAGTATTTTTTTGTTTGTTGTTTCACATTGTATTTAAACTGCATAGATTCTGCTTTCTAATAATGTTCATTCTTTCCCTTATTGATTACATATGTGGGGTGATCTGTTGTACTTGGGCTGATGTCACAGCTTGGGTTGCAGTTGTTATTCACCTTTAGTCGTTGTTGCTAGTTAAAGTGCTATAAGAGCAATGATAAGTGCAGGCCTGTCATAGTCTTCAACACCAAAGATAACTACAAAAATTTCTGCATTTTGGGCTTCTGCCTTCTTCAGGCAGATACTGAGAAAGAGCATTACCAGTAACTGACACACAGTTAAAAATAGTTTTAAAAAACCAAACAACAACAAACCCAAAAAGATGATTTATAAATTGGTATATATATATATAACATTCCCTTGCCTTTTAGCTTTTCCTGTAGTCTGAGTGCTTGTGTACACCTAGAATTTATATGTTGGTGCTGATTACCCCTGTGATAGCAAGAAGTAAGCCCCTGGAGGTGATGGCCTTGGGCTAGGGCCTTCATGAGGAATTCTAGAGAGATTTCTGTTTCTTATATAATAACAGAATGTCTCAGGAATATACCTATTATGGATTTACAAACAGGTCCTCAGCTGACATGGAATCTGTTGTCACCTGGATCTGACACTTTCAAGGTCCAGTACTGGGAAAAATTTAAATTCTGTTGTTGATGAGTTACCTGCCAATGATATTTTTATTGTTTATAAACTACCTGGTCAGCCGAGTTTTGTTACTGCAACACAAATGTATTTTAAAACAACCTACCTTAGATTCTTACACATTTGTCCTAAGTTGTGTCCCTGTGTCTGAACCACTGTGAGATTTTGGAAAAATCTCACTTTGCCTTTCAAAGGTTTTGGCAAACCTTATTTTCCTGAGTTGTTAAGCTTTAGAATTCAACAAATGTCATAATGGAAAATTTGGTTCTCAGAGCTCTAATTTTAGCACTCTAACCCTTTGAAAGAAAAAAAATTGTTTTAAATCTGTAGTAACTATTCTCTTCCTTGGACCCTGGGACCTAATTCTGGTTCTCTGTTTATTGCCTACACTGGAATTTGGCCAGCACCACCAAGGACAGCTGCTGATCCTCAGATCACATTAAAAAGTGTGTCTTTTCTGTATTTTTATTCTTTTTAGTCCTCCTTGTTCATAGTATTTTGATGTCTTTTTTTTTCTTTTTGTGACAGGGTTTCTCTGTGTAGCCCAGGTTGTCCTTGAACTATCTCTGTAGCCTCTAACTCACAGAGGACTGCCTCTGCTTCCCAAGTGCTAGGATTAAAGGCGTATGCCACCACCACCACCCTGCTTGCATTCTGATGTCTTTAAAGAAAAAAAATTGGTGTTTTTTGTTATTTTTTTTTATTTCTAGTTGTGCTTAGTAGAAAGATTGACTTGCAGGAAATTGTACTAATTTATCTCACTTTACCCTACTAACAAGGCAAAACAAATCTAGCACAAAAATATTTTAAAAATTAATTGGAGCTAGAGAGACAGCTCAGGAGTGACGAGCACTTGCTGCTCTTGCAGAGGACCTGGGTTTAGTTCTCAGCACCCACATGGTGGTTTATAAACTTCTGTGCCAGCTTCTGGTCTCTGGGCACCAGGCACACACACACCATGCACTTAGATGCATGTAGGCAAAATACTCATATACATATAATAAAAATAAGCAAATCTTTAAAAATACAAAGCAAGCTTACAATTATGGGCAAAAAGTAAATTAAAATTGAATGTCAATTCTAGGTGTTATATGAAAGTAATTTAGTAAATACTATCTAGGATTTATTGTAGAAATTCAAGGATGCTTCTAGATCTTAAAAATGTCTTAATATTTGACTTTCATAAGTACTGTGTAAATGACAGAAACTATGTTGGTATATAATTATAGCATAATTATAAAGACATAATACATAAGGACTTTATGTAATATCCAATGTTCATTATTGATTTAAAAACAAAATTCACTAAAATGTGAGTAGAATGATGCTTTAATAATAGGAAATTTAGCAGTTACTATGAATTTAACAGGGTTATACTAAACACATTAATATACATTAACATTATCAGGAGGTTAAAATTTCTTATCACCAGTTGTTTAGAGGTTCCCTTAAATAAATAAGATTTCTATAATTATAATTGTAGTAATCAGACATGTGTGCCTCAGTGTGCTTTCACTGCTACAACATATCTGAATAAGTTACAAGCAGCTGAAGTTTCTTTCTTTGTATACTTAATAAGTAATTAGTAGGATTAATGTGAATTATTCATCATAGAGTAGCATAGAAGTGTAGCAGGATGAGGGTATTTTGTGGTACAGGGTTTTCCAAGATTAATCAAATTATTTTGAACATCAGATGAACTTCATAAGGAAATAGTTATTTAATAATTCTAAAGTTGATAGTAAAGGAATATTAGACACTACTAAAATGGAAAATTTTGTGTGGCCTTTATTACATATGCAATGCTATTTATAAAGCAAAATAAGCAATATTCTTTCAAAGTAGAATAGACTGACATAAAAGGAGTGGAATGTAAAAATCTTTAAGTATTTCAGGATCTGTGAAAGAATTGCCATCTCAATTTAAAAAAAAAAAAAAGAAAGACAGTCAATGAAATTCCCACCAATCTGTGCCAGTTTGGATGAAGATATTAGTAAGTTCTTGCTTTCTGTATGACAGTGAATTCCAGATTGAATAAATATTTTAATTTTTCTATGGAAATATTCAAGAAACAAGATACTGGTACATTTTCTATAGTCTGAAAATATGTCAGTTTTCTAAAGTTAACACCAATGCTTGAAGTCAGCAAATAATAGACTGGTAGTTTGCTTGCTTGCTACTTAAAAGAAAGTAAAGTGGAATACATGCTCATTGAGAAATAGCATTTGCTATGTATGCTTTCAATAGAACCTGTTATACAATAAACTGTATAGCTGATGGAGAGGTTTCAAAGATCATACTCAAAACTTAAAATAATATTACAAATGTTCTATGTGGTTTGAGCTGCACATCTGTGTACATTAATCACTTATGTTCTATTAGTAAATTATAGAATTTATACTTCCAGGTTTAATTATACTTTTCCGTAGGCAGCTTTTGGGTTTTCCTTTTTGGTTTTTAATTTTTTTTCCCTGTGTGAAACATTTGATCTCTTTTTACTCCTAGTGGAATGGGTAGGAGATACTTAAAATTATATTCATCTCTAGAATTTCTGTCTTTGATAACTAATTTTATGTATATTTAAAATAATACTTTATTGATGAAATAATTTTCAGATAGGTTTCACTTTTTGGAGAAGATGGGGATCCATCTGTCTCCTCTGGCTTTGCGTGACAATGGTGTGAGTAGATCCTACAGCACCATAAGGAGGGAGTACAGAGTCAGACAGAGGTCTGTGTAGACGGTTAGGGCTGGCTTTGCTGTGCCAGTGCTTCTCACACTCATCTCCTTCATCTGAAAAGCAATTCTGTCCTGTGCTCCTGGCCATGCACTATGTGATGCAGTGAGCCTTGAACCAACACCAGTTCCCACAGCTTCTCACCATGCTTCATTTGGTCTATTGTAACTTTTAAGCAATTTGTTTCACTCAAAGTGCATTGTTTTATCACTTATGTCATGATTTTCTCATGAAGTTTCCACCTTTTTGTCAATTATGAGGTGCTCTTTTGTAAGCATGGTGTAGCCTCTCATTGTGTTCTGAGCTGATTGTTCCATTTCACCATGTACTATCTAGAACCAAGGTCGGTAAGAATGGAAAAAAATCCTAATTCCTCAGGGTTGTGTCTATAAATGGTATGTATTTGTCTTGCCTAAATTAACTAACTGGATGGATGGATGGATGGGTAGATAGGTAGATAGATAGATAGATAGATAGATAGATAGATAGATAGATAGATAGATAGATAGATAGATATACATATTAAGCTTCAGTGTGACATTTTCATACATGGCTTCAGTATACCTTGAGAGATGTCCTTCTTATCACCACACTACTTGGAATGATCAGTCATTAGACTCAGTAGAATCAGATAAGTCTCATTTCTGAAACTTCCCCCTCTTTGGTTTTTCACAGACAGCTAATGAGAAGGCCTAGCATTTGTGTTCAGTTTCCCCAGAATATCAGGTAATTTATCTGTGGAATTCTTATACTTTACTAGAGAAAGAGGGACGGGGAAAAGCTTTCTCTGAGAACACCCACTTTATTTGTCTTATGTGTAATGTGAATATTTTCTTTTCATACTTGAAACTGTAAGTCATGAAAGACTCTGTCAAGAGAACTGCAAAGGAACAAGGCAAAGAATGCCTTTCTCTTAAATCTTGAGATTATCTATTTGTCGTAGTTTTAGGGATACATCTCAACAGTGACATGGTGGTAAATGTCAGTGGTGTGTGTGTTGTGTGTGTGTGTGTGTGTGTGTGTGTGTGTGTGTGTACACGCGCTCATGCACTCACACATGATAGTGTATAGTTGGGTGATAGAGAGTATACTAATTATACT